CTCCCCGCAAGACCCCTTGCAGGCTGCCTTTGAGAAGCAGAGCCCTGCCCCGGACACCCAGAACACTGGCCGCCGAGCGACCCTGGAGGGTTTCTGGCCCTCGTTACACCTAGGGGACCAGGCAGATCTCACTCACCTGAAATCATACTGCAAGTAGGCAAAGGAGCAGAGCTAGGCTCTGACCCTGGACCAGAGCAGGTGAGGGTTCGAGCCTCAGCCTGGGACCCCGGAGGCAGGGTCCTGGGGCCAGAGTGAAGGAGCAGTGAGGGGCACGTTTGTCCCTGAGGACCCCAGGCTGTTCAAGTTTCAGCCTCACATGGGGAGTGAGGACACAGATACGTCATACTGTCCTGGACTCCACTGACCTTGGAGAAGATCCAAGGTCTCGGCCTGTGTCTGAATGGCAATGATGGGGAGAGGTTGAAGGCCTCCTCTGCAGTGTGGGGGCTGGGGGATGTGGGGTGCAGGGAGGTGAGAGGGGGCCCCCTGCACAGAAATCAGGAGGCCAGCGGAGAAGTCAGGGGGCCCATCAGGAAAGGTGGTGGGAACGAAAACCTGTGCCCTACCTGACGGCCTTCCTGGCTGGCTCAGATGGTAAAGAACCCGCCTGCAATGTGGGAGGCCTGGGTTCAAACCCTGGGTGGGAAGATCCCCTGGAGAAGGGAAAGGCTACCCACACCAGTTTTCTTGCCTGGAGAATCCTCATGGACAGAGAAGTCTGGCAGGCTACAGTCCATGGGGTCTCAAAGAGTCAGACACAACTGGATGATTTTCACTTCACCTGATGTGCTAAGGTGGGCCCTTGACTGGGCCAAGGTCTTGCAGGTGTGGGGGAGGCCTGGCAAATTCAAGGCCCCTGTCGGCCACTGTCCCTACCCCCAGAGCCTTAAGAGAAATTTGTGCAGAAAGGAGCCCTGGCATCAGCAGAGGGAGAGTGGTCCATCTTGTGTCTTTCAAGTAACTGAGGCTGGGGGAGGGAGAGTTTGGAAATAATCCCAAGATCCTGGCTGGGGGCAGGGGAGAGGGCAGGGCTCCACACCTGCACACAGGTGGAAGACCTAAATTTAACTCAGCTTCTCCCTGGGCCACACACACCAAAACCCTGCTCAGCAAACTCCCACTGGCACCCCCTTGCTCCCGTGCTCCCACTGGGAAGGGCAGCTTCAGGACCAGACCGTGCGGAGCCTGATGAAGCGTGAGCGGGGAAAGCGCCCTGAGAACTGCAGCCAGCCCGCAGCAGTGCTGGGCACCCAGACATCCCAGACACGCTGGGACTCAAGCAGGATAACTTGCTGGTAATTCCACAAGTCCTGGGCACGTGCTATTTACAGAACCCTCTAGAGGCCCCAGAGAAGAGCCACCTCCACAATCTGCCTGCCTCCAGGAAGTCAGCAGGCCTTGGAGAGCTAAGGCGAGTCAATGATGAATGACTGGATTATGAAACAAAGTAAAATAACTGCAAAGGCCTTAGAAGGTGGGGGTCAAATGTTAGATGGGAGAGTGGGAAGATGGTTGGGCAGCCAAGTGTGCCCCCCTGTGTCTAAAGCACTGACCCAGCTATGCTGTGTGCTCCCAGAGGTGAGTGGGCCACCTCCCTGCTCCAGAGTGCGAGCGTGCATGCTAAGTCGCTTCAGTTGTGTCTGACTTTTTGCAACCCTATGGACTGCACCCACAGGCTCCGCTGTCCACGGGATTCTCCAGTCAAGAATACTGGAGTGGGTTGCCATTTGCTTCTCCAGGGAATCTTCTCGACCCAGGAATCGAACCCACATCTTTTACATCTCCTGCATTGGCAGGCAGGCTCTTTACCACTAGCAGCAAATTATCATTAAGACCTATTTTTGCATTGTGCAGTCAACTGAGTTTGTTTGGTTTTTTTTAAGATATAAAAGAGAAATGAACAGAAGTTCTGAAAATATCAGAGCCCATTATTATCACATGAAACTTGCTGGGTGTGTGTGTGGAGGAGGTTGCTGTGTAAAATGAATTTTTTACCAAAAGGACCCTCCTTGGCTCTGCCTCCTTCAGTGTTTTCAACGGACACACTGGAGGCGTGTTTATCCAATCTGCAATCTCAGAGCTGGGAGGCATAACTAACACGTTAGATGGCCAAGTCAGGATCCTAAAGAATGTGAATTCACCTGAAGATGGGCAGGAACCATAAGAAAATAGAATCTTAACAGTTGGGCATACATATAATGCCACATTAGTGTTCCAAAAATTGACTATGGATGCACATGATGGGAAAATGACGTGACAGTAGATCAGGTGGAAAAGACCTGAAGCTGCTAGTTAAGAGTGAGTTCCACATGAACCAGTGTGGTATTGTGAGAAAAATGGGGTGTCAATCCCCTGACTTGATTCAGCATTACTATCACCTCACCCTGAAATCCTTCCCCAGATGTGGCCACCCACTGGGAGGGCATGTGAAATCATGCTGAAGGGTCTGAAGTCCATGAATGCCTGGGCATGAAATGAGATGCACAGATGTTTCTAGGAGCTCCTCATCTCCAAAGGGCTATCAGGTGAGCGCAGGTACCCACCGGTTCTGTGTAGCCCGGAACAGCTGTTAGGAGCTGTCATTGATAAGCAGAGTTAGAGGAAGGTTTTGTCTTAATGTTATGAAGTTCTTCTACAAAGAAAATTGGGCACCTGGGGGCCCAAAGACATAGGAGAAAGTTCTTCCTTGATATTCACAAAGTGAAAGTCACTCAGTCATGTCCAACTCTTTGTGACCCCATGGACTATACAGTCCATGGAATTCTCTAGGCCAGAATACCGGCATGGGTAGACTTTCCCTTCTCCAGGGGATCTTCCCAACCCATGGATTGAACCCAGATTACCCACATTGCAGGCCGATTCTTTACCAGCTGGGTTACCAGGGAAGCACAAAAATACTAGAGTGGGTAGCCTATCCCTTCTCCAGGGGATCTTCCTGACCCAGAAATTGAACCATGGTCTCCTGCATTGCAGGTGGATTCTTTACCAGCTGAGCTACCAGAATACTCACAAGGTCAAGCTCAAAGACCTCCTGTTTGCCTGAACACTACTGTCTAGGGGACATGTGCATAATGGGAGGGTGGGGGTAAAGGAGGGCCCAGTCTGGCTCCAAATCCTGGATGCTCATCAGGAACTCCAGTGTTGCTTGTTCACAAAATAGATTTTAGCTTCACGTGCATGCATGCACCCAGAGGTGAGCGGGCCACCTCCCTGTTTCAAAGTGCGAGCATGTGTGCTAAGTCACTTCAGTTGTGTCCGACTCTTTGCAACCCTGTGGACTGTAGCCCACCAGGCTCCTCTGTCCATGGAATTCTCCAGGCAAGAATACTGGAGTGGGTCGCTGTGGCCTCCTCCAGGGGATCTTCCTGACCTAGGTATCGAATCCGGGTCTCCTGCATTGCAGGCGGATTCTTTACCACTGAGCCACCAGGGAAGATCTTCAGCTTCACATCAGATACTGAATCAAAATCTTCAAGTGTGGAGTTGGAGAATCTACGATAGTTTTTGAAGCTTACAGGTGGACTATTCAAGATTGGGAGACTACATATAATAACAAAATATATGAACCTTGATGGAAATTGACGCTTCAAAAAGTATAAAAAACATTTTGGGAACATGCAGGCAATCGTTGAGATTGTTATTAGATGATATTGAGTTCTTGATAATGTTCTTAGATGGGATAATAGTTATTTGGGGTATAGGGGCTTTTTTCCCCTGGGTGGTTCAGCCTGAAGTATTAAAAAGTGAAGTGCTGTGCATTATTCACAATAACCAAGGCAGGGAAACAACTTAAATGTCCATCGACAGAGGAATGGATAAAGAAGATGTGGTACACAGATCCAAGTAGTATTATTCAGCCATAGGAAAGAGTGAAACAATGCCACGTGCAGCAACATGGCTGTAATTAGAGATGATCACACTCAGTGAGGTCAGGAGAAAGACAAATATCATATGATATTAGTTACCTGTGGGATCTCAAATATGACACAAATGAACCTATGAAACAGAAACAGACTCACGGGCCGAGTACAGGCTTGTGCTTTCCCAGGAAGAGGGTTTTGAGGGAGGGATGGAGTGGGACGTTAGACTTAGCAGATGTAAGCTTTCATATAGAGAGTGGATAAACAACAAGGTCCTACTGTATAGCACAGGGAGCTATATGCAATATCCTGTGATAAACCATAATGGAAAAGAATATTTAAAAAGGATGTGTGTGTATATATACACACACACACACACACACATATATATATATAACTGAATCACTTTGCCGTACAGCAGAAATTAACACAACATTGTAAATCAACTATACTTCAATTAAAAAATAAAAAACAACAACAAAAGTGAAGCACTGTGTCTACAACTTACTTTCTTTTAGACAATGAGTTAATTTTAAGTGGTTCAAGAAAAGAACACAAACGAGACACAATATCGAGGGAGAGGGCTTTCGATGCACTTTCAACTTTTCTGAAGGCTTGAAATTATTCAAAATAAACCTAGGAGGAAAAGCTAAGCCTCCTAGGCTACTCTGATGTGAGCCAAACACGAGGCGCATTGGACAACAGGATGGACAACAGGACCCCTCCTGTCCCACCGGCCTGCCAACTGAGGCTCCGCGTCGGGGCCGGTCCCGGCAGCGTGGTGTTACATCACAGTGACCCCTAGAGGTGCTGTGCGCTCAGGGTAGACTGGCCCTTGGCCGAACTGTCAACTCATGAACACAGAAGAAAAGCCCATCCAACTAGCCCATGTCCCCTGTCCCAAATTATACAGAGTGCAGTGCATCCGGCCAGCCCTCGGACCTAAGGGTCGGTCCCTGGAGGTGGGCTCCTATGCTATCCCGTGACAGGTGGTCTCCATGACGACAACCAGCCCAGCAGGCCGGATGGAGAGGCTGGGTATGGAGACAGGCAAGGGCGAGGGTCCCCCGGCTGACGTGAGGCCAGCCCTCACCAGCTCCCCCATAACAAATCAGAGAACCCATCAAGGAGGAGACTGAGGGCCCATAAAGGGGAAGGGCAGACATGGTGGACGTGGGATGAGCAGGGAACACACAGCAGGCCCTGGTCGGGACAGGCTGCTGATGGGAAACCCGAGATTCGCCACGCTGACACCAGCGACAGACACGGGCTCACGAGGATGAGGGCAGGGAGCACGCGGGATACTCACGGTCTCTCCTAGAGCAGGGCTGCAGGCTGAGCCCGGCCCGTAGGAAGCCACTCCCTCACGATCAGACTCGGCCTCTCCTGCTGGGCTCCAGTCTGCGTCCTGAAGGAGGGGCCGAGGTTTGCAGTGTGAAGCCTGAGGCCCGAGGCCAGAGGTGCTGGCAGGCATTTAAGGGGCTCACACGCCCATCCTACCTTGGCCGCTGGCGTAAGGCCCCCCTTGTCACACCTAATACTGGTGAAACAGTCTCAGTCCACAGACCAAAGAGCCTGAAGCCTCGAAATAAAGATGTCACTGTGAGTGGAGAGAGATTAGGGAGTGGGTCCCTCACCCTCAGGGGGGGCTCTCAGCAGCAGAGACCCAGCCTGGTCCTTCTCCCCCGGCAGCACCAGGGGCTCCCTGGGTGTATCGGGGTGGAAGGCAGAGTCCCAGGTACAGGAGCCCAAAAACTCACAGGAGCCGAGGAGGGCTGGACGGTGATCAGTTTGGGGCAGTAGTGAGGGGGATACGCCTGGCCTGGGGCTCTGCTGCGGGTGAGCCCCAGTTCTCAGCTGTCCCATGGGGCAGGCAGAAGTGATCTGATTCAGAGCAAAGTCCTGAGCTCTACCCAGTGCTTACGTTTCAAAATTTGTCTTGGAGGGACTCTTAATGGGAGTGTGGAGAAAACATTCAAGCATCACTTGTGGTATACCAACACAGCTTTTACATACCATAATGAGGGCTGGGAGACAGCACATTTTATATATTTATATGCATTTAGTATGAGGAGCTATCTCTATATTCCACAACAACCAGGTAGCATCTTCTAACACGTTTTCTAATGACTAATTTTCTAATTAGAAAATTTTTAGCATTTTTTCATTACATTCTAAAATGTGTTAGAACACTGGACGGATCTAAAAATCAAGATTCTCTACCATCCAGGTGAAGACACAGGAGTGAGAATGGCGTGGGAATAACCCCATGTCCGATGGAAATTCCCGTGGGAGGACAGCATGGTGATGGGCCCGGGGGCCATCGGATGGGGGCTCACCCCTCAAGACGGGCAGCAGGACCTCTCCCCCAGAGCCGCCCTCGGGCTCCTGGAGAAACACCCAGATGCTTTCACCTCTCCGATGAGGAGAGAAAGTAACAGATTTTTTTTTGGTTTCACAGTGACATTTTGGCTCTTTCTCCCTGAGAAGAAAAAGAGGCACAAGCTAATGGGCAACAGTGTGTTAAGAGGCCGGTATTAATCAGGCTGGGGTATTCTGACCCTCCCAACTTCTTTCTTTTTTACCCAAATAAAGCAGAACAAGATCTACCATCATCATCTTACCTTTATCTTTTCCTTTAACATAATTTTACTTATTCTTGGCTGTGTTGAGTCTTTGCTGCGGTGAGAGGGGGCTACCCCTCGTTGCCGTGTGCGGGCTCCTCGTTGCGGAGGCCCCTCCCCGCAGACCATGGGCTCGAGGCGCTCAGGCTCGCTCTGTGCACACGGGCTTCGCTGCTCCATGGCACGTGGCATCTTCCAAGACCAGGGACTGAACTCATGTCCCCTGCACTGGCAGGCAGATCCTCAACCGCTCAACCACCAGGGAAATCCCTCGTGCCTTTATCTTAACATCTTGGCATTTCTGCTGGAGATACACACATCAATACCACCAAAACTGTTCTGGTAGCACCGCTTGGAAAGACAGCAGTGATGGGACACAGTCAGACAAGTGCCCGTATGCTATTTTAAGATATTTTACTGCCTACGCTGATGACAGCCCATGAAAGGAGCCCACATAAATCCCAAACTAGAGGCCTGGCTCAGAAACACAGCTACTGCTTTCCCTACAGCTAGCTGTCTTTGGGTCGCTGGCCCAACCACCTGCCCTCTGCCATCCACGTAGACAAGCAAGCACAAAGGTGCTCAGGCCACAAGTTGGTGACTCTGCGGGCACAGACCCTTATTACGTCCCTCAATCTCAGGAACAAAAGGCCCATCTGGAAAGCAACAAACACATGGATTTGGCACCAGCCAGTCACTTAGAAGAACTGCATTTCTGAAGGCAAGTAGGGACTCTGATAAACCGCAGAAAGCACTGACGTCTCAGTCAATCACCTGTGACTATTTCTTCCCAAAGAACTAAAGAAGGTTCAAATCAGAAGACACTCAAGTCTCTTTGGCTGGATGGCCGACAAGAAACCAGACCCTCTTACCAAACAGTCTCCAGGGTCATAGACATCCACGGAAGAACATTTTTCTAAGTCAAAAGCCTCTGTGTCAGAGAAGACTTTAACATACCCCGTGTTGGGTGCCTCTTTCCTTGTGGATTACTTCTTTGGGAAGATGAACTTTGGGCAAAACACTTAAGCTCTCCAAGTCTCAGCTTCCTCGTGGGTAAAACGAGGACAGTGCCATCTCCCTTGGAGGGTAGTATCAGGATAATACATGAAAAGCACTGAGCTTTGTATACACGACCCACTAGGTGAGCAGAAAACGTAGGTGCTGGGGCATGTACATGACAGAAGAGGAGAAACGGGTCCACGAGAGGAGGACCGAGAGAGAGAGAGAGAAATACACAACACGTGTGGTCAGGATAACGCACAGAGGCATCAGACCAACTCACATCTTAGTTAACGAAAACATGTAAATAATACTGGGCTGCAAGAAGGCTGAGCAGATACAAAGACACGGTACGGCCTGGAGACAGAAAATGTCACACCTTCACATCCAACACCTCCGAAGGGACCCGTCCAGCAGACACAGCCCTCCTGCTAACCCCACAGGAGACCAGCCCATGATCTGCAGGTGGTAGCAGCTTCCTTATATAATCACTTCTGGTGTCAAATACTGTGCCAGCCGAAAAATCTGACATCGTTCACCTTCTGGGGAGAAATCTGGTCTGAAATTTAGGATTCCACCATTTTAAGAACAAGAGTCGCTAAAACACAGTATCCCGAAGAGGCCACACCCGCTTCCTTAGAGACCACGACACGCTTCTGAGACGAGAACTACGAGGGCTTCTCCCCCAGGATGCCTGACCGCTCCTGAGCTCGGAGTTCTTCCAGTTTCTTCTCGTAGCGAGTCATGAAGTACTCGTCGGGCTCGATGCCCGCGTTCCGAAGATTTTCCATGACCTTTTCCAGTCTGACTACCGATCGGGCCCCCTCAACCTTTCTTGTGCTCAGGTACAGGGTGAACTCCCGGAAGTCCAGGAGCTTACAGGTGTCCACCGAGCAGATGTTCCTGACGTCACTGGTTCTATCCAGCTGCGGGAAAAACACCAGTCCCGACAGCTTCTCCAGGTCCTGCAGGCTCACCTGGAACTCACTTAACTGGGGCTGGAAGCCAATGGCCTTGTTGGGCACCACGAAGGCCCCGAGGGCCAGGGGCTCAGCAGACCCCGCACTTCTGCGTGCCAGGATCACCTTGAACAGGTGGGAGGGGACTGCCACGTTGTCCTCGCCGATCACCTGTGAACAAGGCACTCGTATTAGCAATGCTAATATGTGCTATGCGTGTGTGCTAAGGCGCTGTGGTCGTGTCTAACTCTTTGCGACCCCACGGACTGCAGCCCGCCAGGCGCCTCTGTCCATGGATTCTCCAGGCAAGAATACTGGAGTGGGTTGCCATGCCCTCCTCCAGGGGATCTTCCTGACTGAGTGATCGAACCCATGTCTCTCATGTCTCCTGCACTGGCAGGCGGGTTCTTTACCACTAATGGCAGCTGGGAAGCCCAATTTGCACTGTGCTGTGCCGAGTCCCTCAGTCGTATCTGACTCCTTGAGACCCCATGGACTGTAGCCCGCCAGGCTCCTCTGTCTATGGGATTCTCTAGGCAAGAATAATGAAGTGCGTTGCCATGCCCTCCTCCAGGGGATCTTCCCAACCCAGGGATCAAACCCAGGTCTCCCACATTCCAGGTGGATTCTTTACCATCTGAGACACCAGGGAAGCAAGTCCCAAATATTTCCTGAAAAGACTTCTAGATGCATTTCCAAAAATGCACTTAACAAGCTACTCCACCCCACCCCAATGGATTTAAATTCAACTGCCAAAGGTAATAATAAACCGAGACAGATTCTCAGAGAAGAGGAGCATTTAACAGGTAGATTCTGATCATCTTTAAAGTAAGGTCATCCCAAAGACCAGGGCCCCCATTCTCTGCTCTCTTTGTAGGACAAAGCAATGCCAGGAGTGAGTCCTGGGTGTTTCAATGGACAAGAAAAGTCGTAGCCTCCTCTTTGTCTCATAATCAGAACTTTCGGTGCTAACATTCAATAGTCAAAACGGCCAGCTTAGGAATTCCCAGCTCTGGAAATAAAAATATGGCCTCAGTTTATCAAATTCACTAGGGAGCTAAACACATAGCCTTTCAAGAAGCAGCCAGACACAGCACATGAGTTATTAATATCTTCAGTATCGCCTAGACTATGGCTTATTTTTAAAATTACATTAGATAGGGACTTCCCTGGTGGTCCAGTGCTTAAGACTCAGCCTTCCAATGGAGGGGGTGTGGGCTCAATCTCTGACCAGGGAGCTAAGAGCCATATACCTCTCAAAGATCCAGAACAGAAAACAGACACAGTAGTGAAACAAATTCAATGAAGACTCTAAAATGGTCCCTGCAAAAAACAAAAATCTTAAAAAAAAATTTTTTAATTACATTAGGTAAATGTAAACGCCATCTGCTCAGAGCTCTGCACACTCGGGTCTGCCATCAAACACACAACTCCTGAACGTGTCATCAAATCTAACACTTTGGAAAGGTGTCCACACAACAAAGCAGCCAGAGCCACGGTCAGGCCTGGAAACATCTTGGTCGCCTGTGTAGGCTGGCTGTAATAACGAAATAACACTGTTATGAAACCTGTTCAAATTTCCTTACAATTGGCCTAAGAACCATTATCTGTTTTCTGAAGAAGAAAACATGAACATCCATTTCCTTAATGGCCTCCAATAAAATGACACAACCCCACAACAACAGGAGCGTGGAGCTCCTGGCCTCCCAGGCCCGCCCTTCCCGACCGAAACCGCCAACTCGGGCAGGCCCCGCCGGGAGCCCAGCTAAGACAGAGGGACGGGAGCTGGGGAGGATCCGCTTCTGCCTTCCCCAGCTCCCACCCGCACGCACAGCCCCACAGCCCTGAGGCCGGCTGCTTACACGCAGGGAGGCCCCGCCATGACCCACCACNAAAAACCAGGGAAATAGCAGTTGTTTAGTTTTAGATAGGTGAAGACACTAGTAATACTGTGTATACACAAATGAAAATGTCTACTGGGCAGATGGAAAGCAGACATTAAAATGTGGGAAAGAGGTCAAGAATAAAAACATACATTTGGGAGTCAAAGGTGAAAGTGAGATAGTAAGTGATAGAAGTATATCTACTTTTCGAAGAGTTACGTGCTGAGAACTGAACCATACTTAAATGATTGAAGACAGTAAGTGATATGTAAGAGGGGGAAAAAGTAAGACAGACAAATAATGTAGTAGACTAGAGCACAGTTTCAAGTTAGGGAGTGGAGGTCACCAATTTCAGCTTCATTAAATACATGTCAAGGACATGAGGACAAAGGAAAAAAGTCATTAGGATTACCGATTAAGAAATTATTAGTAACATTTAATATACTTTTAGTAGAACTATGGATAAGAAAGGTGGATGAAAGTCAAATTACAATGAGAGGTAGTAAGAATCGAAATGTTACTAGAGTAGTTCAGTTCAGTCGCTCACTTGTGTCTGACTCTTTGCGACCCAATGGACTGCAGCACGCCAGTCCTACCTGTCCATCACCAACTCCTGGAGTTTACTCAAACTCATGTCCACCGAGTTGGTGATGCCATCCAACCATCTTATCCTCCATCGTCCCCTTCTCCTCCTGCCCTCAATCTTTCCCAGCATCAGCGTCTTTTCAAATGAGTCAGCATCAGGGGGCCAAAGTATTGGAGTTTCAGCTTCAACACCAGTCCTTCCAATGAACACCCAGGTCTGATATAGTATTATTTGGAAACTCAGAAAACTCATTGTTTCTTCACTGAATTTAAAACTTCTTTGTAGGCAACTCAACCAACAAGATAAATTCTTCCCATTTTCAGGAAAACCTGAAGATTTCCAGAAGATGTTTCTAGAAAATAGGGCACCAAAACAGAACAGTTCAGCAAATTGAAACCCCAGAGACCTAAGGCCCTGCACTAAGTTGCAAGTCACAGCATCTTCTTTTTTCATTCATAAAATGACTAGTAACAATCCCCAAGCAGTCCATCTCTCAATAGTTCTGTAGACACAAAGACACATTAGTTTAAAAAAATAGGAAAAATTATTTTGAACTCTGCAAGGCCTATGTAAAAAGATATTTTTGTAGTAGACATCATTCAAGAGACAGGAATGCAACTGCATTTGGTACAAAAGATGGTTCTGCACTGGGACAGGGGAAACGTGGGATTAAGCAAGAAGAGATCAGTTCAAGGTGGACAGAAGGGTTTCAGGAGAAGAAAGTAGGCTGGACACAAATGATGCCCTAAACAAACGACCCAAAGGCTTAACCGATCTATCAGTAAATTAGCAGTAGTCCTTTTCATATAATATTTAGGTATAAAAATACTTTACAAAGGAAATTCTTGGTGTTGTTACATTACCAAAAAGCACTGAACTCGCGTCAAGGCTGTAATGAAAACTGGAAATCAACTGGGAGTGACAAGAAAATACTATATATATAACAATCAGAAAGCTGGCACTCGCTGACGACCTGAGCTAAGTTTCCATACCTGCCGGCCTGTCTTGTTTCTTCTCACCCAAGAGCTGGAGATGACAATTTGCTCCCCCGTCTCACCCCCAACTAACTCCACACACACAAAGCTGGGCCTTCACGCTGACTCTGTGCAGAGAGACTGGCCACAAACACCACCCGGGCCAAACCTGCTCTCTCATGTCATAAGCACAGCATCACGCGGAAAAACGTACCTGCAAGACTCAGACAGATGTAATGTATCTGGTTACATTCCCTCGGTAAGACAATAAAAAGACATTCCAAAAATAAAACTGTTAGACACATCAAAAAATGAAGCCCTTAAAACAGAGTCAGACTAATCAAGTGAGAGAGAGAGACCTGATGGTGTGATAAACAGGGAATCCTGACCTGAGCGGACAGAGGGACAGGAGCAAGAGAGTCCCGGGCTGGGGAATCAACAGGGGTGTGGCCGCACCGTGTGCTACCTGTGAAGCCACTTCGGACGCTCAAACCCCGGGAGACCGTCCTTCTCACACTGGGCACCCGCCCTGCAAGGGGGCGGGAGATGCCAAGCCAGTGAAGCAAGCACATCTTCCCAGACGGTCACTGCTGCTGAGTGATTTAGGATGGGGGTAAGGAAATATATATATTTATAGATTTGCCTGCTTTTTAAATAAGACTTTTATTTTTATTTACTTTTTGACCCCAGCCTGTGGCAGTGAAAGCGCTGAGCCCTAACTACTAGACCACCAAGAAGTTCCCAAGACTTTATTATTATTATTTATTTATTTTGGCCTCATCACATGGTGTGCAGGATCCTAGTTCCCCAATCAGGGACTGAACCCGTGCCCCCTGCATTGGAAACATGGGAGTCTTAACCACTGGATCCACCCAGGGAAGTTCCATAAGGAAATATTTATCCAATAAAAGAGCTGATTTCAATTAAATAGATATAGAAATTAAGACTGCATAAAGCTAAAATAGATTTAAAAAAATAATTGCTGATCACATCAGCTGATGCCTCGAAATCCCTGAAGGCATTATTTTCAATTTCCTCCCCCTTCTGGAATTAGTGGAAGTCTGGATAATGCTGTAGAAGAAAAAAAGACCATTAAGTAGTTCTCACAGGACAACTCCACCATGGCCGAGCCGTCAAATCTAAAGCTCACTTTCTTGCCAGGACAATTACAATGTTCGGGCTGGAATATTCAGGTATGTTTCATTTGCCTGGATTCTCTCTCTTCTTGAAATAGGCACATGGCTGACCTAAGCTATAATAAAGGGGGTGCTTGTGATTAGAGCTGTCAGATGACTCACTTCTGATAAAATCACTGCCTCGCATCTTCCCGCGGGCTCACGTTCACTCCAGTCCTATGACTCTGCAGTTCTTTCCTACGTATTCCAGCAGACACTTCTGCCTGGCTAGAAGGAATCCTCCTCTTGGCCCATTTTCTGCTCTTATTTTTGCACGCCAGCAACTATCACCTGTAACTGCTCTCCATCCACACCGTGTTTTACCTCCTGGTCTTAAGTTTCTATATATGAAGAGCACAGCCAACCCTTCACTGGAGACTTTTGAGAGCTTAAAGAACAACGCTGTGAGTGACGGGCAATTCTCATACAAGGAGAGAGACCCATGTTTGGATTTCCCCCTTGACAATTACTAGCAATGTCACTTGGACGTGACCCCTTGAAACCTCAATTTCCTCCAATAAAAGAAGGAAATCACTGCCTGTTTGTAAGAGCTGTTTGTGAGGACTGACCGGGATAGCATGAACAAAGCTACACACATACCGGGAGTTATACAAGGCCCTTGATAAATCCCAGGTCATCTGCTCCACTGCCTCTAAAGTGCACATACTAGATACACATAAAGCTTCATCACTAGATAGAAAAGTAAACAAATACATTATTTTTATTAGCTATGTTCTACTAAAATAAGTTCAGAGTATAGTTGTAAATAAGAAGGAAATACTAAATGGACAGATTTAAGAAAACAAAACATGAACTTCCATACATAGGTGCAAAGCATTCCCTGGGAAACAGGATCCATGATTCAAATACGTATTTATTCCTTGAGAGGAACAGACCCACTTCAAAAGCTGGGCGATGCCATGTCCCCTTTCTTAGCATCTCTTAAGGACATGGTTTTATCCATAATGGTTTTATTACAAATTGCCGGAAAATCACCTGAATTTTCAGTTGGGCATTCAGGGTGAGCATTTGCACCTGATACAAATCTTACTTTTTTTTTTTTAATTTAAAAAAAAATTTTTTTTGAAGTGTAGTTGATTTATAATGTATCTGTTTCAGGTGTACACACACATAGATATTCTTTTTCAGATTCCTCTCTATTACAGTCATAATAAGATATTTAATACAGTTCTCTGAGCCATCCAGCAGGGCCTTGTTATTTATCCTTTCATTTTTGTCTTCTTCCCTAGACAAGTGCTCTAAGCCAACTGTCTGAGGGACTTACTCTTTCTGAGCATACATCCTACTTTTCTCCTGCCTCTTCCGCTTGCCTAGCTTTGCCTCTCATGTCTGCTTCCCTTAGCCAAATTCACCCAAGTTTATACGTGTATAGATGTGTATGCATACATATATTTTTAGCACAATGCAATTCTTAAAATGGGGAGCTCTGAGACAATTTTTCTAATTTAATTTACTAACGGATCATATTTTCCTTTCATGCTAATAAATACACTAAAGATTTTTAAATGTAAAATTCCACCTGAAGTCAAGTTTGATCTCAAAAATGCTGCTGGGCTTCCCTGGCAGTCCAGCGGTTAAGAATACACCTGCTGTGCCCTGTAATGTTGTGGGAGGCCTCCACAACACTGCAGGTGTTCAGAGCTCCAGCAAAATCTGAGTACAAGTTATTAAGTAAAAGAACGGATAAAAGTTGTTGACTCAAAGACATTGAGAGAGAGAGAGATGACTTCCATGATGTGAAAGAGAGGAAAGAAGGGGAAAAGTATCCAAGAACACAGTTTGAAGCATGTCATTTATAATTCCACATACATTCCTCCCACGTGACAAGTACTTAAAGATTTGCTGAATTAAAAGATTTGCCAGGGTGAACATGAATAGGTTCTATCAATTACTACAGACATGGAAAACTAATGTTACAGGTTCAGAGGCCCTGAATCTGAAAGAAAAGGCCTAAGACTGATAATGCTTTAAAACAAAAAAACAAGACTGTTACTCAGAGTACACTCCTCAAGAAGCTCACCGTGACTGCCCTCACACATTCATCACCATGACACTAATTAGGGTCAGAAGAGCTGATGGGTCTCTTCTAAAACTCTTTGAGAATACCTATACATGCCTGTATGGCATTCACTGATCGACTATTTAGTGGGAAAAGCAAGGTTAAGTCTTTCTAGTGGTTAATTTTGTATAACCCAGTGTAATAGGATTCTGGTATACAAAAGATATTCTAAAGAGGTATATACATTTGCTTCATTCTGAATTGCAAATTTAAAATGTGTAAGGATGGCATATGAAACACTTGTACACCCTTCACCTGGATTCATCAACTCTGAACATTTTGCCCAATTCCGTTTATCACTCAACCATTGTCTATGTTTTTTTTTCCCTAAACCTTTTGTATTTATTAAGAGCAAAGACATTCACTTACATAATCAAAGTACAATAATCAAAGTCAGGAAATTTAACAGTGATAAAATATAATTATCTAACCTACATACCTTAAATGTTACCAATTGTTAAATGTTACCAATTGTCCTAATAAAGTCTTATTCAGCAACTTTTGTTTTTCTGATCTAGGATCTGATCTAAGATAACACAATGCATTTTATTTCATGTATTTTAGTCTTTAGTCTCCATTCATCTTGAACGGTTACTATCTCAAGCCTCTGTCTTTGAGGACACGCCTCTGTCTTGGAAGACACTAACATTTTTGAAGAATGTGAGTCAGCTATTCCAAAGCATGCCCTTCAGTTTGGGTTTGCCTAATACTCCTGCATGACGACACTCAACAGTATGCATCTTGGGCAGAAATACCAGAGGTGATACTGTGTCCTTCTCCGCGTGACACACCACAGGTACAGTTTATCAGGAAGTCTCTGTTGCCACTCCTTCACTCCCATAGCACTTCTGGAACACTCTGAGGGTGTGAGCACCTCTGTGGACACCTTACAGACCCACACATCACTGCTCCTCAGAGCCAGACAGGCTGATCAAAAGCCAGTCACGGGGGACAGCATATACCCTAAAGTTGTTTTTATTTTCCCATCTGTTTCTCAGGTCATTCAGTTTTATCAGAGACCCCCTTAAGTAACTATGTAACCTAACAGGCGGCATCTACCAAACATCTGTTCCCTCCAAACACACCCACTCTTTGACTTTCCAGGAAGTCCTTCAATCTCGGTTTACTGACTCGACCACTTCTCTTATTTCCTCCTTACCCCACTTCGTTCCTGGACACGCGGTGCATCTCACAGTACACCAACTCAGCCACCCTCTTGGCAGAATCCTCATCTTACCCATCAGCAGAAGCGGTCTGCCTCTCTCCCACCACTAATCATACTGGCATATTCTCCCTTTCCTTTAATCCATAAAGTTCTCAAATATCATGCATGTTTAAAAAAAAATTTTTTTTTCACCTTTAAAAAAAAAAAATCCAAGCATGTAAAAGAAAAGCTTTTCCTCCCATTTATTCAACTAACTGGGCTTCCCAGGTTGGGCTCAACGGTAAAGAATCTGCCTACAGAGCAGGAGCCGCAGGAGACGAGTTCCATCCCTGGGTTGAGAAGATCCCCTGAAGAAGGAAACAGCAACCCACGCCAGCATTCTTGCCTGGGAAATCCCATGGACAGAGGAGCCTGGTGGGCTGCCGTCCCTGGGGCCACAAAGACTCAGACACAACTGACAGCCTGAGCACGTATTCAACTATTAATAACTGCAAGCTGGAGGCCTTCCTCAACGTCTCCCTCTTCTTCACCCCAAAAACTGAATGCGTGACTAGTCTTTACTGTAGTTCTCGATTTCTCCTCATCCACCTGCTTGAGTCCAGCCCGTATCTAGAACGATACCTAAATCCCACAACTCTGCTGTCGATCCTAAGTGTTCTGAGCTCACACCGCTCCATCTTCTGGAGTTCCCACGCTCCCCTCCTGACTCTGTTCACTCTTATTCCTCCATCAAGATCTAGCTCAAAAATCGCCTCCTCGGGGGACTTCCTTGGCAGTCCAGTGGTTGAGACGGTGCTTCCAATGAAGGAGCTAGAGTTCAATCCCTGGGCAGGGAACTAAGATCCCACGGGCCAAAGAAAAATAAATAAATCCCCTCCTCTGTGAAGTCTTCCTGACCCTTGCAAATACGGCTGGTCACTTCTTTTTGACACCACTCCATCTATGCATGTATACATCAGCTCACACTGTAACATAATTAGCTGATAACATGTCTGTCTCCTTTTCTAAACTGTGCACTTCTTAAGGAAGTCAATGGTTGCTTTTTAACCCATCATTATATCCTCTATGCCTATCATTCCAACTGCTCAATAAATCCTTGTGAATAAATGAAACTAAAAAGTTGAATACAGAGACTTCCCTGGTGGTCCAGTGGCTAAGACTCTGAGCTCCCGAGGCAGGGAGCCTGGGTTCAATCCCTGGTCAGGGAACTAGATCCTGCCTGCTGCAACTAAACATCCTGCATGTAGCAAACAAGGCTCCGTGCAGTCAAATAGATAAATATTTTTTTAAATAATAATTCTAAAAAGTACAATACAGAATGAGATTATAATCTCATGCACATAAACCTGAATGTTAAAACATGTTCCTACCTGGTAACTAACTGTTTTCTTTCCATCACTTCCAGTCTGAGGTAAGGTCAGTGGTCCAGACACGATCCAAACATCCTCAAACCTCTCTGTCAGTTCTCGACAGTACATTTCTATTCTGAAAAACAGAAAGCAAAAAGATATGTGATTGTCTCAAACCCAAATGCAGAAAAGCAGCAAACCCTATCAAGTCCTTAGGAGCGGTTACAAGAATACTGAATTACAGAAATCAATGTAAACAGGTGAATATGGCATAAAACACTAAGAAGCAAATAAGCAACGTTCTTCCCAGTTTGCTGTATGAAAAAACTTTAAAAAAACACATGCATTTATACAACTATCTACATTTTCCTGTGTGTCCATTCAATGAAAAGTTTACGACTGCAATTTTGTTTTGCTTCCTCCCTTATTTTTCTACGCCAGTAGTTCTCAAACTTTATTCAAGAATTATGTATCATTTCAACAAGTTGATATTTTTTATGTAACTACATCCATTGTAGGACAGTCAGGTTTATCCTAGCATTTCTTAAATACTGTCACGCTGTATTAATAGCAACGAAATATTAGTAGTGTGAAATGAAATATCATTAGTAGTGTAAAATGAAATATTAGTATTAGTTTTAAATAGCTAAAAGACCCCCTGACATAACTGAATGAAAGCATCTGAAAAAATAGAGAATGCCCAGATGATTTTATACAATAGTTCCTCATCCACAGAGAATACATTCCAAGACCCTCAGTGAATTCCTGAAATTGCAGACAGTACCAAATCCTATTTATACTGTTTTTTCCTATACACATATATCCATGATAAAGTTTAATTTATAAACTAAACATGGTAAGATCCAATGATAAAATAGAACAATTATAACAATATGCTATAATAAAAGTTATATGGGTGTAGTCTCTCTGAAAATATCTTACTGTACAAATTCATCCATCTAAACTAAGCCCTTATCATACTTAGTGGCTGTAATTTATGCTGCTTGAGATGAAACAGCAAAACCAGCACGAGTGTTTTCTTCACAATTTCATAGATAAAAAGATTCCTTCTTACCTTACATCACAGTAATTTCGGCATACAATTTTTTTTTTCTTAAGTCAACAACTTTTACCTTTTCACTTAAGGGAAGCACTTTACAGCCTCTCTTCAGCCAATCCAAGTTGCCACCATCACGACTCTTGCATTTTGGGGCCATTAGTAAGTAATGTGAATATAAGCGCTATGAAAGCGAGATGGTTGCTGACCAACAGGTGGGATACACTGGACAAAGGGAGAATTCACATCGCGGGCAGGACAAGGCAGGAGGTACTATATTTATTTTTTTTTTAAATCTTTACCTTTAAAAAAAATTTTAGTTAATTGATTTGGCTGTGCTGGGTCTTCATTGCTGTACATGGGCTTTCTCCAGTTGCAGCAAGCAGGCTCTAGAGCTCGGACTCAACAGCTGTGGCCCATGGGCTGAGCTCCCCATGGCACGTGGAACCGTTCCTAAGCAGGGACCAAACCCAAGTTCCCTGCACGGACAGGCGGGCTCCCAACCACTGATCACCGGGGAAACCGGGAAGCACTAGGTTTTATCAGGTCACTGGGCAAGGCACCAATTTAACACTTAGAAAATTAATTTCAAATAAATAAATAAAACATATTTCTGGAATTTTCCACGTAATATTTTTGGACTGTGACTGATGGTGAATAACTGAAACAGCAGAAAGCAAAACCACAGATAAGAAGGGACTACTGTAGACAGCTTCTATCAAACACTGGTCGTGGTTGTGTTCAACGGTTTGTTCTCAAAAGGCTCAGCAACTCTTTAAATACCAACAGAAAAATACAGAGCCCTGTGCCTAATGCACAGTGTTCCACTGCGTCAGTAATGTTTCCAGTCGTTTCTTCCAGAACTTGACTTGTGACCAGTGGAAACAAGACCAAAATGGCCGGCTATGGATTGAAGTCTATACTTCCATAGAAAACTATCCCAAAATCCAGCAAAGAACACTAGTCCAAAGCATTTATCTTCTGTACTGTTAGCATTTGAAAAACAAAAAACAGGAGGAACAGCTCAGGCACACATTCTCCTGTCATATCACTCATCTGCCACAGAATCACATTTTAAAAACTCTCCCTGCTCACCTGTTCCAATATCCAGCGTTATTATCAAAATTCTGAGGCACAATATTAGAGAGGTAAAAGGTTTCAGCCATGGCTTTCTGTGAAAAGAAACAAAAACAGTAACATGCACTGAAATGCCTTCTCCTTCGAGACAGGCAACCAGTTCCTCAGTCAAACCTTAGCCCCAGGCAATTACAGCTGCTATTTGCTTAGATACATGAAAGCCACAACTACTCAACAGAAAGCTCAGTAAAGATTATCATCAGAATAAGGACTGTAACAAAAGTAGTTTGGCGTGCTAGCTTTCTTCACAATTTATTAAATTCATACATGTAATGTAGACTATATGAACAAAAATTTTCCACTATACAGCTAAAAGGTGAATTCTAGTGTTAAGTCTCGGGCAAAGAATTTCTCAACAAAGGTCAGCTTTCAGGAACCCAGCAGTATTTAAGTAGTATAGTACAAACACATTAGTTCAAAAGTGGTACAAAAAGTCCTGTTCTTTTGAATTTCTGCCCACTATGTGTTTATTCAGGCTTCCCTGGTGGTTCAGCCACTAAAGAATCCGTCTGCAATGCAGGAGACCCGGGTTGGATCCCTGGGTTGGGAAGATCCCCTGGAGAAGGGAATGGCTACCCACTCCAGTATTCTTGGGCTGCCCTTGTGGCTCAGCTGGTAGAACATCCGCCTATAATGTGGGAGACCCGGGTTGGATCCCTGGTTGGGGAGATCCCCTGGAGAAGGGAATGGCTACCCACTCCAGTGTTCTAGCCTGGAGAATTTCATGGACAGAGGAGCCTGGTGGGTCCATGGGGTTGCAGAGTCAGACACGAATGAGCAACTAACACATTTTTCAGTGTTCATTCCCCTCACGCTTCTGACCTGCATGCCCAAGGCTCTGTCATCAGGTTTCCTTGATCTACACTAACTACAAGGTCACCAAATACTCTTCAAAAAGTGGCTCTCAGGCTTGCATGCACACTGACATAACCTACAGAGCTTCAAAAATGTGGATGCTTGGGTCCCACGCCCTAGGATTCCTCATTTACCTGCTCTGGTTACAGTCTGGGTACCAGGATTTTTAAAGACTTCCCTGCTTCTTATAGTGAGTATCCAAGGTTGAGAGTCACTGTCTTAAAGACAATAATCACCAACAGTTCATGTAATAAATCTCAACGTCAGAAAAGTCATTTCTCTCCTTTTTTGGCAGAAAAAGTATCCTAAACTAAAGGAGGCTAGAGAGACATGACAACTAAATGTAATATGTGACTTATGAATAGATACTGAATTTTTTTTTTTAAAGTTGTAAATGACATAATTGGGACAATTTGGCAAACCTGAACATGAGCTGTGTACTAGATATTATTGTACAAAAACACATTTGCACAATTTCTTAGTATAATGATATAACTTGATATACATTCAAATATCCTCATCCTTAGATAGTATAATCTCCCAAACAATCTACCTAAGCATGAAGTGTTACCATGTCTGCAATTTACTGTCCATGGTTTAAGACAATTTATAGATAAACTAAAGGAATCAAGATGCATTTTCTGTCCTATCCTCAACTTTTCTCCAAGTCAAAATATTTTTGCTGTGCTCTCGACTTTTCTACAGGTCTGAAATTTTTCAAAATAAAAATGAATGAGTCATTTAAGCTCATATTGGCTTTTGCATAACTTTTAGTTTTCCTCACTCAACCCCTTTAAAAATGCTTGAGCATCTGAGCAAAGAAAAGAAGTATAATCAGGAAGAAAACTACCAAGTTGAGCATGAAAATTCTCAAGAGTTAGGGTTTGGGTCTTAGGTTAATTTCCAAGTCCCATGGAACGCATAATACCAGCCCTGTGTTCCCATCCCTCCCAAAAAATATGCCTACAGTTGAGAATTTATTATTTCCTGCTGGAGCCATGTGGCCTCGGGACCACCCACTGCCAACATAGTCCTCGTTGAAGGCACTGAAGGCTGGAGGGATGCTGGGATCCGGCTTGAATTTACAATGTTTTCTGTCTGCATCACCTGAAGAAAAAAGACACACCATGCTCAGTGGACAAATCTCTCTCAAGATTCGTTAAGCAAGGCAAGCTGCCAGCTGGTATCTCTTTGAGCAGCTAGCCAGTAGTATCAATCCTTACTGATGGCATGCATGTCTCAAGTTCCTGGGATAGTTCAGATACTTCATTTGAGTTTAGCAAGAACTAAGTCTTGCCTTCAGTCCCCCTCACCCCATAAGGCTACAGAAACAAAGCAATATGGCTTTAGTTTACCAAGACCACTCTGATCCTCTCTGGATTCTGGCATTCCCGCAAATATTGGCCTGGCAAAGCTCTATCATCATATAGGCTCTTCATGTATTTTTTTTAAGTGATTTTTTTTCTACATACTGCTAATAACATTTCTTGTTTTTGGCAGGAGAGTTAACCTAAATAACTTAGTCTGTCATTACTAAAACTGTAAAACAAATGCTTCACACTAAAATCAAGGAAATCACAGGTATATTGCTTCCTATTTTCAAATAATACTAATTAGCTCTATTTTACCTCCTCAAAACTATACAGCTCACATGATTTACATTATGAAACAGTGCTTTTTCTTAGATACCTCGGGAAATAATAACTTAAGTGCAAGATAAAATTAGTAAAGCTTAAATCCCACCTTGGGTAAACTGTTGTATTTAAAGGAAATTTATCAGGCTTGGGACTAAATCAAGTGAGTTTCTCTTGATGTAAATTTATAATCAGGGACTTCCCTGGTGATCCAGTGGCCAAGACTCCACGCTCCCAAAGCAGGGAGCTCAGGTTCGATCCCTGGTCATGGACCTAGATGACACATGCCACAGCTAAAAGATCTCGTGTGCTGCAGCTAAGGCCCGCAGCAGCCAAATAAATAACTTTTAAAATTTATAATCAATTTCACTTGCTATGATGAAGTTTACACTTAACATCAGCTCCCTTCTAGCAGTAAGCATATTCCAAAGTGAGAGTGAAAGTTGCTCAGTCGTGTCAGACTCTTTGTGGCCCCATGGACTATACAATACAGTCCATGGAATTCTCCAGGCCAGAATACTGGAGTGGGTAGCCTTTCCCTTCTCCAGGGGATCTTTCAACCCAGGGATCAAACCCAGGTCTCCCACATTGCAGGCAGATTTTTTTTACCAGCTGAGCCACAAGGGAAGCCCAAGAATACTGGGGTGGGTAGCCTATCCCTTCTCCGGGGGAATCTTCCCAACCTAGGAATCAAACCAGGGTCTCCTGCATTGCAGGCAGATTTTTTTACCAGCTAAACTAGCAGGGAGGCCAAACATATTCCAATCCTCCTGCTATTCTGCAGGTTAATGTGTACTTTATGAAGACACACACTCATTTTAATATATTTAAACATGTATGCACTATAAAGCAATGCAGAAATAATTTGTAAATTAATTTTTAATTAATAGCAAATTAAACAGCAAATAACGGAATGGGAATAAAACAACTCTGACAAAGTAATAGTCTTCATACAAAAATTTCCTACAAAATTCAAAAAAGAATATGCCCATTGAAAACAGTAAAGAAAAATTCACAAAGAAAGAATAAATCACAAAATATCAACCCTCAAAGTGAGGGTTAATTAACCCTGGTAACCAACAAACAGTAATGGTGGGAGTGTAACAACAAATAGGACAGTGATAGTGGGAGTGTAAACTAGAAAAGCTACCTAGAAATCAATCTAACAGTAAATAGCAAAACCTGGTCATCTTAATCACAGGAATGCATCGAGACACGAGGACATGTGAACAGACGCATGCACCTGCCTGCCTCTCTAATCTCAAATCACGTTCTCCCTCACTACAGCCAGGCTGGCCTTCTTTTAGTTCCCTAATGGAACAACACTCTTCACATGGAGGCCTCTGAAGAGGCAGCTTTCCCATCTGGAATGTCTGTCCCTGTCTGGAATGCTCTTCTCCGTATCCCACTACCCACCCAGCTCCTCTGCCTGGGTAACTGCCATCCACTCTTCAGGCCACTTTCTTAGAGAAGCCTCGCTAAGCAGTATCAGGTTCTGCTGTTATAATCTCTCATCATATTCTTTATTGTTCCTTAAATACACAAACTCAACTTGCAATCACTTTTCCTCCAAAACAGTTATTGCCAAGTGTAACTACACGTTCACGAGTATTTGCTAGGTCAACCAAAGTGTCCTGGGGGTAGAGACCATCTACTCTGGTCACTCAGAGAACCCCAAGGCCCAGCACAGTGCCAGGCATTTAAAGAACATGTCTGGAGGTTATGAATGAGTGGTGCTCACGGCAGCCATATTTGTGACAAAGCCTCCAATTCATGTGTCAAGATACAGATCCTCTCAACCCCTGAGACAGCCAGGCAGGGTCCATTTATCTAGTGAGCCACACAAACATTTTCTACAAGCGCTGTAATGTAGAAAGGGTTGAAATTATTAATAACCCTTGTTCTCAATTTGGAAACATCTCCTTGTTCTCAATTTGGAAACATCTTTCATCAACACCTTTGCTTCTAACCACCTACCCATTATCTTGCTCTTGGATATGTGTTCAAGAACCCATCTAGGCACCCGCTTTGATTGATCATAAGACAAGGCATGGTTAGTGTAACACCTCGTCTCTGTTCCAGTTAAAGGGAATCCAAATTGTTCCAAGACAGCCCTTTCCGAAGAACCTAAAAGTGAGAAAGGGTGCAAAAGTAACAGTTAGTGACTTTTATTAGGAACAAAAAATAATAATGAAGGGGGTAAGACAAAGGACTGGGTTGACCATAACATTAACCAGGTAATCTCCTTTTTGCAATTACTTACAAGGCAAAGAAGAGAGTAAGCAAAATACTAGTTTCGCCTAAAATCAACTGCATAATTCTAACCAAGTAAACTGTAGCTATTTCATTAACTGTTAAATAAGAACCCTATTTTACTGGTCTTTCACATCGAATTTTCGAATCTCTGCACCACACAATGCAGTGTACTCAAGAAAAACTCCTGAGTACTGAATGGAAGGCAGCCTACCTATTCACCATGCTTTAAGAGTTAATGTGGGGACAAAAGCACAGACTTTTAATTTTTTTTTTAAGACCCTCATTCAGGGACTGCCCTGGCAGTCCAGTGGTTAAGACTCCAGGCATCCAATGCAGGAGGTGCTGGTTCAATCTAGGGTCAGGGAACTAACATCCCACATGCCTCGTAAAAAAAAAAAAAAAAAAAAAAACCCAAACAACAAGATCACCTCACTGACACCCTTCCTCAATGTTCTGGTACTGAGGCAGAGATGTATGCTGCAGCAAGACAGTGGTAAAACTGGCAGGGCTTTTCCTAGTGGGAGAAACTGAACACCTACTGAACAGGGAGTCAGTTTCCAAATAACCCTCTCTCGATGACCTCTCCAGGTTTCAACTCACCAGAGTAGCTCTCTCGCGAAATGCCAAGTGTCAGAAAGAGCAAATGAAATGCGCGTGTTGGAGGCAGAAATGAGCATGAGCTCATTTACTTTGTCAAACATAAGGTACACCTGGCAACTTGCAGATTTACTTGCGGTGAAGGCTAGCAGGTGTTCTTCATTTAAACAATGATCAAAGGAGGACAGCTCAAGGATCTGCCAGAACAGCGCTCCCCAACCTTTTTGGCATGAGGGACTGGTTTCCTGAAAGACGATCTTCCCAAGGACCCGGGGGTGGGCCTATGGTTTCAGGGTGATTCAAGCTCATTACATTTACTGTGCACTTTATTTCTATTATTATGACATGAGCTCCACCTCAGATCATCAGCCATGAGATCCCGGATCTTTGGGACCCTTGTGTTAAAACTATGGGGTCCTTCGTTCATTCATCTATACTTACTTGCCAATTTATGCACCAGGTACCGGGCCGTGTATACGGTGGAGAACGAAACTTAAAAAACAAACACGGTCCAAGCGATTATGGAGCTAACAATCAAGGGGAGGGCAGAAGACAGCTGAAAACACGTGTGGGGATCAGTACTCGGGGGACAGTAGACCCCGGCGGGAAGGAAGTACACGGAGCGGGCAGGTGAGACGCGACGTGCGGAGCGGAGGCAGAACCAAGAGACTGGACAGCGGACGACCAAGGGCTGGGCGAGCGGCGACAGCGGCGTCCGTGGTTACCGCTCCCGTCGGAGGCACCAGCCTGGACTCGAGATCCGGGGGCCCACACACTCACCGTCCGGCTCCCTCACCACCACCGCAGGCTCCGCGTCCCGACTCCGGAGGAACTGCACCACCACGAGGCCAGTGCTTGCAGCGCCCGCGACAGCTCCGGCCACGAAGCCTCTCAAAAAGCGCCGGGACCCTCCGAGACGGGAAGCAAAACTTTTAGCAGCCATCTTGCCCGAGACGCTAGCCTTTTGCCGCAGCGCGTGCACGCGCCAGGTCGGCCGCTTTCAAGCCAATCGCAACCACGGGGCCGAGACACGCATGCGCCACCTCGAGCCGCCCGGCGCGGAGGCTCTCCCGGACGCCGGAGGCCGGAGCGCAAGCGCGCGCCCTCTGGCGGCAAACCTGGAGCCCAGGCGCACGCAGGCTCCACCTGCAGTCCATTTAGGCCGGGTGATGCGTGAGGGCTTGACGCCGCGAGGGCTCAGTACGTGCACATAAAATCCTCTTAGACCCACTTAACAGGTGAGTACACCACTTGCACATCCTTACAGTTGGGTCCTAAGAACCGAGATTCCAACTCAGATCTGATTCTAAAACCAGCGCCACATTAGGTGTGTTCATGACACGTGGCTTTGAAGTCGCATGGTACACAAATCATAACTTCCGAAGGCAGCTTGGCACCGCCTAAGGAGTTTCTGGACAAGACAGTACTCGATGGTAGTTTAGGACCCTGAATCACAGCACAAGGTTTTGAATTCCCACTCAACCACTTTCTACCTGCTTCCTCTTTTGAAAGGGTTCTTGTGAGGATTAAAGGAGATTAAGCATGTAAAGTGTTTTGAGAACCTGAGGCATTGTTAAATGCTGTTAATATTTGCAATTTTTTAGCTCTACTTTCTATATAAAATCCAGATTGCTGAATGCTTGCTAAGAAAGGATATATTTTATGCACTCCTACTCACAAATAGGTCTTCACTTTACAGCATAATATCTAGCATTCCATGTGACCTTAGTTCACCAAGCAGGAAGCCATTGCTAACTTCAATGTAGACATTGTTTTGACAGTTTCATGACTCCATGCCTCCTCCCAGGAGTACCTGTCATGAAGTCATTTTGTATCATCCCCTGGGCCTCTGACACTAACTGGTTTAGCTAAGTCAACCATAACCTTCCTAAATATTTTGAATCTGGAAATTTCTCCAGGTAGCAAAACTGTGACAAGTGGAACTCTGGCACCTAAGGCCTTTTTTCCTGCTAAGTAGTCAAAGAGCAGGTGCATCTAGTTTTGCACAGAACACAAGGGGATCAGATGCTGAGACATAGGTGAAGGTCTGTAATGCTGAACCCCTGTTTCCAAAACCCCTGAAGCCCAGACACATCCTGCCTTTTCCCAGAGCTGGGCTGGCCACTTGTCCCAGGATCCTTCCAGCAAAGCTTCCTGTTTGTTTAGTGGTGTCTGGCATTTGCAGTCAAGAGTCCAGACAAAGACAACCAGGCAGCACTAGTTATCTGTAGATTTCAAAGCTGCTGCCACCAGAATTTAATAAATATACACATTCACTTAAGAGGTATCTCTCAAGGCCCTCCCGAGTGCCCTGCAGAGCTAAGCACTAGAGGGGAATGGTGGGTCACTTCTCTTCCACATCCTGCACTTGGAAACAATGGTGGACCCCATACTTGGGTTCCAAGAGTCAAGAATCAGAAGTAAAGATTGCCTGACTCTGGTTAGGGTGCCTCCTCTGGGCCTGTTGGCCTACCTTGAAAATGAAGGACTAGTAGTTTTAAAACTGTCAGCAGGGGAACTCTAGTATTCCATAGGGGTGCTTGAGAAGTAAGGGAAGGAGGGGCAGGCAGGCTGAATGGCCCGAGCCTTCTTCTACTTGCTCATATGGGCAAGCCTGCTTTTATGAACTGGCTTGTATTTCCACTTCTTTTTTTAACTGAAAAAAATTCCTTTGCTGAAGAGAAAGCAACCAGATGGCCCCTGCAGTCCAAACTTCCAATGTTGTTAGCACCAAGGTCTTTATTCAAAAACATTAGCCTTTTGTCTTCTTCTTCTCATGATTAAGGACACTCACTGATAAAAGGTGAACTTCCTAACACTTAAAAGGACAAAATGGACCCAAAACTGAACAGGTGGTTCCTAAGTAAAGGGCCCCTCCCTTCATCAAAAATTGTTCCCAAGTGTTCCAAGCAAGTTATTTAATCTTCACAATAAAGTGAAAAAAAACGCACTGACCCCACCGGAAGGATTCAAAGCAGTTGTTTCTCCACACTTAGCAAGTACTAGTCACAGGCCAAAAAAAATCTTTTATCTTACTGCAGAAAGCAGTGAGGTGATTTCTGAGTCTTTCCTGTTTTATTAGGTAGAAGAGACTAAAATTATTTTATTAGCAGGGAACCATGTTTGCATCTAGTGAGGTTCACTCCAAAACAAAAGACCTGACTTGCTGGTTCACATCTGGCGAGGTGTTCCATCACTGTATTTTTTATTTTTAAAAGCTCAGCAAGTGACCCAGGTACTCAACCATGTTTGGAAATGGCAGCACTTGTATTCCGCAGCAGTCCTGAGTATAACATTTTTTCTGGGTTTCTCTGCTTCACTTACAAAAATAGTGCTCAGGGCTGTCTGCCAAGCTCATAGGACTGTGGGGGAGCGTTGCGTGAGGAGGTCTTGGGGATTTGCAAAACACACCCCTGCTCTGCAGGAACATATTCAGAAGATGGTCCATGAAGGAGATGCCCGCTGTATCTCCAAGTAAGTTCTGAGCTTCTGAAGGGCAGAACTGGACCTGTGCTTAGTCAGCCACAGGCCCATGGAGCCTGGTACCAGGCAGTAACAAGTACACGTGTCCCCAGGAGGAACTCACAGAGGCGCTCAGGTCGGCCCTGTGAGTGCGAGAACAGAACCCCCCTGCCATGTGACTAAGAGAGACCACAGGGCTTTATTATTATTATTATTTTATTTTCATATACAAAAAGATAAAACTTGAAATAGTTCTAGATTTTTCCTCCTATTCTGTTGGGGTGTGGCTGCTTCTTCACACGGGGGGTGAGGGGGGACTACATTCACATCGGTTTATTTGAGGACCCAGTGCAGAGTTTAAGCAGCAAAACCCCAACTTAGCAGATCTAATTTCAAACTTGACACTCATTTCTAAAATTACCACAGTAAAAAGGAACAAAGATCCACTGCAAATGAATGAACTATGATACAATGTTCTTTCCAAAATGTCTTCATTTTGCAACTGTAATTACATGGATGTCTGCTTTAGGCCATTTTAGACGTGTGCAGGTATTTAATATATATAGGTGTATTTTATATATATATAATATATATATATNTGGTGACTGTGGTTCAGTCACTAAATTATGTCTGACTCTTTGTGACCATGTGGACTGTAGCCCACCAGGCTCCTCTGATCATGGGATTTCCCAGGCAAGGATACTGGAGTGGGTTGCCATTTCCTTCTCCATAGAATATATACGGGTGTGTGTATTACTGAATTAATTTCTCTCTCTCTCTCTCTCTTTTTTTTTTTTTTTGACTCTATTCTATCTTAAAAGATGATCAAGTGTGCAGGTTGCATTTCCAGGTTCCCATATGACCTGGCTTCAGACTTTTTTCAACCAATTAAAGGTCCTGTTGTAAGACTGGAGAGTAAGAAGAGAAGGGAAGCCTCTTCCATGTGTTGGCTTCTTTTAGTTGGCTTTAATCTCTTCTTTTGAGTAACATTTTATATATATATAAATCAGCACACTTTTCAAATCCAGACAGGGTAACAGCAACAAGCTTAACTCTGTGTGTGTATATATATATATTTTAAACATGATACTTTAGTATAACTTTTGTTAATTCAGTAGTACAATCTATTTCTGTTCTACAAAATTTTTATTGTATAGCTACAAGGGTGAAAAGTGACCTATTACATTTACATCTCACATATCCTGGTACACAGTACTTATTGAATTTGAGCCAAAAACAAGAAGTCTTTAGTTTTAGCACTTGAAGAGCTTCCTCAACTTCTACTGTCTGAAATCATATCCTAGTCACATTTCCAGAGTTTGCAAATTATTCATCATTGTAAACGGCGAGAAACAGGTGAATCCAAACTTTTAATTACAGTTTTATATACAAGTTAGATAACACAGCTCAAGAAGACTTTGCTATCCATCCTAAACCCAACACACACATTCTCCACTAAGTTATTAGATAAGTCTTAGGGTTTTCCATCTTTTCCTTACAAATAATACACACATTTAGAAGGAGCTGGTAAAACTAATATATTACGATGGCAAATGAGAGGTGACATCTATTGGTTCCAAAATTGGTCCTGCAAATATACTCTGCTGTGTTCTTTAACTGTGTCTGTTGCATGCAGAAGCTCTTTTCACAAGAACTGACATCAAACTCAATATAAGTTGAATTTACAGTACTGTATGAAGTTATTCAGATTCAAGGACAAATGTGGGAAAATGTTAACACATGGAAAATTTGGCCTTTGATGCTACCATAAATATGTCAAATTCATAAGCAGATTCTTTTTGTACAGTTGAAAAATGGCATCGTGTGGATTTGTGGTATGGAACTGAAATCTCGAAGTATGTTTCTCATCTGCGGTAACCCTCACCCCCCCCAATTCTCAAGTACCACCCAATTTGCTTTTGCATTTTTACAGAATTCTTAAAAAAAAAAAAAAAAAAAGGAGGGGGGAAGGAAAAAGACGCTGGCATCTTAACAAGTCTTCCCCTCCCAGGAGGTCGTCAGGCTCTCAGATGAGGTCTCCTAAGAATCTCTGCATGGTCATTGGCTCTCAGACGGCCTCTCGAAAATGACTTGGACACTTTCCAAATCAAACCCCAGCTGTTGCCTCATCCTTCCCACTCTCATCTATATCGTTGCTGGTAAAATTTCGATGAGTGCATTTTTCCCTTATGGAAAAATTATTTGGCGAAACATACACTTAACTTGTGGCAGTGCTCTGAGAAAACCTCAGCTAGACTGAAGCCCCTGCAGGGACTGAAGTCAGCGGCCCCTGCAGAGAGTAGAGACGGAACACTCCGAGGGCTGAGTCGGGACCCAGCGGGGACATGCCGACCCTGCTGTCCCACAGTCAGCAGGACCAGCCAGGCAGGCAGCCCTCGCTCATAGGGCTGAGTTACCACTTTAATCTTGGTCTGCCATCTACGCCCCGGAGACGCAAATTCAGATGTGGTGACTGCTGGTTAATTAAACTTTCTGAAC